AGCGTCTTGCAGCGATCGCTCGAGGACGCGGAGCCCGCTTGGACCGTCTCTGGGGCCTCTTGGGGTCCTCTTGGCCCGTCTTGGGGCCCCCTTAGGTCAACAAAAATAGACGCGCCACCACGCGGGGTAGCCCAGGGAAACCGCGGGGCAATTTTGGTTCAGGGCCCTGTAAACAGTCGGGTTGACCCAAAAGGGGTCCAGCGACAAGGGGGTGGTGCAATAGACGTGTGGGGTTGCAAAACATCAGGGGCGTGCAATGTATCTCGGGGCGCCAATGAAATCCTGCAGTTGCGCATGCAATACAATACTCGCAATACAATACAATGCAATTCTCCAGCGCAATATATGTATATATATATATATATATATATATATGCATTGCACTTGCCCCAAATCTATTGCACCACCCTCTTTCAGCTGGCCCCCCTTTTGGGTCACCCAAAAACATGTTTCAGGACTGATGGCTGAGGCTCAGGGGACTGATCAAAGGACACGCCCACTCCGTGCCCAGAGGCACGGTGGCGGATACCTGACGGAAAGGATTGCCCTATAGCCAGGGTTGGGTGGGAGGTTTGGCCGGGGATGGGCCAGGTCTTCGGGAGACTCTTCCGACCGACTGCCCCCCGAAAGCATTGCCGGAACGCACCCCAGGTCAAGTTTTGGGGTCGGTTTTTGACCTCGTGAGTTTCAACCTTCGCGCCGTGAAATCAGAATGGGCTTGCAGCCGCTTTCAACATCTGCAGCTCCTTATCGGGCCTCCGGGGCCCTCCAGAACAAGACTCGGGCAGAAAAGCCGACCCCAGGGAAGAGGTCGAGACCCCTGGGTCTCCAAGCTGCAAAGGCAAAAAGACACGCTGGGGGTCTGGGGCTCCTTTCGCCTCTCCTGCCGATCCCACCCTTGCATCCCTTCTCCTCCAACATTCCGCGTTGCTGTTCAGGATGTCGGCCCCGGGCGCTTCGACCAGTTCCCTGGGTCCGGATTTTTATCCTGAGTCGGTGTTTGACGGCACTGGGGTCGGGAGAGGAAGCCGGAAACGTCGAAACAACGACCGTCACGGTTTGTTTGCGTCGGATCTAACGCTCTTGCCTCATCTTTCCTGCCTGCCTTGTCCTGGCCAGCCGATTTCGTGGACGCTTCCAAGGGTGTTCGGTCGGGCGACGACCGCACCTGCACTCCGGGGCTGGCGAAGCCGAGAGCTGCCCTACGGTAGGTTTGCGTCGTGTCGACCAGCGGCGACCCCAGCGCGGGCGTTCAAGGTTGAACGCCGCCGGCGACCCAGAATCGATCGATGTTGAACGATCGGACGTTGCGGCAGCGGCCGATCGTTCAAGGTTGAACGATCCCTGCGGTGTCAAAAACCAACGCTGGGGTCGGCACGACACGAACCTGCCGTAGACATCCCCGCAGCCCACGAAGGCACGCTTCAGCGAACCAAACCTCCACACCAGCCTCCAGATGTGCCTGGGAGGGGGCTCAGGAAAAAAAAAAAAAAAAAAAAAAAAAAGACACGACACCCCACAACAACAAACGCCAGTAATGGTCGCTTGTGTTGACTTCAACATTGAGTTAATGCATTCTGGGTGCGCGAGCTATGTGGTGTAAGCCATGTGGTGAAAGCTGTGTGGTGCAGGCTCTATTATGTAAGCTATACGGGTAGGGGGAGGGGGGGAGCACCCTTGCGTCTTAGAAGGCGCGGGCCTTATCTGTAGATGTAAGGCCCGCGCCTTCTAAGAAGCAGCCTCCTTCTAAGAAGCCTTCCCCCTTCCCTCCACTCCCTTCTGCGCGCCGCCAAAATGTTTCGGAAAGAATTCGAAGATGCACTTAGCCAAAACACTGCCTCATGCTCCCCACAGTTGCCCGCATTATCCCTGCCCCCCTCCTGCCTGTCATCGGGCCCTGGGGCCACGAAACATGGATCCGGGATGGAAGACCACCCCTGGGGAATGGGCCGAACGAAAACCTTCCCTGGGGGAAGAGGTCGGCCATTCAGGGGCTGCGGACCGAAAAATCAGCTCGTCGGACGTCTGGGCTCGCATTCTGCCTTCCCCCCCCGCTCTGTACCGCGCCAGGCTCCAGCCCTCCTCTGCCGAGGCCTGCCGATAATCATGCCGCGCCCTACGCCGCGCCCTGCGACGGCAGCCGGTCCTGAGTGCGGTCGGCGTTGGGGAGAGAGAGCGTGCGCTGTGGCGCCGCCGGCCCGCTGATTTCACGCTGCGTCTCATCTTTTAGTTTCCCCCGTCATCTGCGAGTTGGCCGAACGCTTCTGCGGGTCAGGATTTCTGCGAGACCATAATTCAGAGCCCCGAATCATCAGGGATAACTCGGGTCAGGGTTAACTCGGGTTCGTTTTTCGGGATTCCAAACCCGAGCTACCCCGGACCCGAGTTACCCCGGATAACTCGGGCGTCCAGAGCCCCACATCATCAGGGGTAACTCGGGTCAGGGCTAACTCGGGCTCGTTTTTCGGGATTCCGAACCCGAGAGACCCCGGACCCGAGTTACCCCGGATAACTCGGGCGCCCAAATGATGCCATATACATTTACATATGTACATGGTACAAGTAGCACGTGAGAAATTAAATGGGATTCGCGAAGCGCCTCCGGGGGAGGCCCGGGGCCGCTGGGGAGGCGCTAGACATGACAGCATGCAGCCGGTTTGGCAGTTTTTTGCTTGGCGCCCGGACGTCGTCGTCGTTGTCAGTCGGCCGCCGCTGTGGTTCGTCGTAAAAGTCGAAAAGCAAGTGTCAAGTTCGACTTCCCCCTGTCTGATTCAGTCCGGTGTAAGTCCACGGTTGACAGTTCGATTTTTGTAGTGGTTGAGATGACTCCTCCCCTGTCCTCCCCTCGAACATTTTCCCGTATGTCGCTTCCCGTACTTTAGCGCCCCAATCAGTTCGAGGGTAGCCACGAGCCGGGCAACGTACCCACAGGCCTCGGAACAAATCAGCGAACATTCATGCCACATTCATCCGTCAACGCCTCCCCCTCCCCCCAATATTTTTCCAGTTGGCGGTGGGTCTGATGAGATGCGCTTCGACCGCAGTCTCCCCCGCGCGTGCCAACATTGAGTTTGGAGAATTGTTTCCTTCTACCGTATCCTACACTTTGGGGCAGCGTGCACCGAAGAAGCCCTGGCGGGGGATAGCGTGGACACAGAAAGGGCCCTCGCAGGGGGGGGGGGCGCCTCACAGGGAGAGCGTGTTTTTTTTTCCGAGGTCGATGTTGCACGCTATCTTTCCAGTGCCAGCCGCAGCGGAAGCGGATGGGCAGGAGATGAAGCCGAGCTACGTGACAACGTTCGCATACCTGCCAGCGCAGGCGAGACTCGCCCAGCGGGAGTGAGGCAGAGAGAGGGGGAGAGAGAGTGCGGCAACAATTGCGCCTCGGGGCGTGCCCAACCGAGTTGGCGCTTCCCTGGGTCACTGCGTCTGTCACGCGGAGCCCCGGGATAGGGCACCGCATCGTCACCGTGTTGGGGCCCCTGTGTCTGGGCGAAGCTGGCACGGGTGGGCGTTGCCCGCGGGCCCCCGAACGGTGTAGTGAGCATACCGCGTGGTGAATCAGTGGGGATTCGGGGTCACCGCGCGGTTTCGGGGCACGGTTTTGAGATCTCCAAGTTGCCCCATGAGGCGGAAAAACGCCGCACGGGGATTCGATCGTTTTCTCGCCATCCGCAGCGTGTTGAGAAGAGCGCGGGCTTTTCGGGCTGCCCGCGGCTTTGGAGCCCAAAACGGCTTCCCGAGTCAGGCGAGCCAGCTCACGGAAAAGTCCTGTTCTTCGGGTACGTAGCCCCATATTGCAGGGTCCAGGTAAGAGGGGGGAGGGGGAGGAGGAGAGAGAAGGAAGAGGGAAAAGCAGGAGGAGGAGGAAGAGGAGGAGGAGGAGGAGGAGGAGGAGGTGGAGAAGGAGGAAGAGCAGGAGGAGGAGGAGGAGCAGGAGGAGCGTTGCGGGGAAGAGGGCAGGGTTGGGAATGGCGAGTGTCGGTGGAGAGGCTGAGAGTTGTTTCCACTGGCTTGCAAAGGTGATATCCAAGTTGGCGTGTTTTGTTGTGCGGCGTTGCTTCACAGAGTCTTAGGGCCTACCCGCGACGCCAATCGAGCGCAGCAGTGTATCGCATCTGTCTCTTCCTCCGCCTCATGCTGCCTCGTCTGGAGCAGTTGGTCGCAGCCAAATTCCCTGTTTGGTTTGCCGGGGGGGTCCCGATGATTACATACCCCTGGAGAATTGCTCCGCTCACTGTCCGATTCCCCCCCTGCCTCCTCTCCCTCCGTCCTCCTCCTCCTCATCATCCTCACCCTTCCAATCCTCTTCCTCATCCTCAAACCTCCCCCATTTCGTGTTCCTCCTCCTCCTTCGCTTTGCCCCCCTCCACCCTGCCCCCTCCTCGTCCGCATCGCTCTCCTCGCCTATCCACCTCCCCCCCGCCAGTCTTCTATTCCCCTGCTGTGGTTCGCTCCTTCCGATCCCCCCCCCGTCCAGAGAAGAGAGAAGAGAGAGATCGGGAGTATCGTCGTCGTCGTTGTCTCTGGACGCTGTTGGCGCTTCCCCGATGCGCTCGGGTTTTTTGTTGCCTGGCGGCGCCTCTGGAGGTCCTCGGGGGTCTCCAGAGGCTCCAGGAGGTCCTCTGGGATCCTCCAGGGATCCACAGAAGCCTCAGGAGGCCTCCAGAGCCAAGAAGAGCTAGAACCGATTTCAACTTCAATCCTTTTCCTCGTCGTCGTCCTCCTCCTCCTCCAAGCAGAGCATGTGTCCTCCTCACCCCCTTCCTCTCTTATCCTCCCTCCTCCTCCCTCGAGTATCGATCCCCGACCGCCCAAATACCGCGATCCTCCTTATCCGCGTGGCTTACGCAGTAAACCAAGTATAATTTGCTGACTGGTCAAGCAATCGGGGGTCGGGCGGGTGACTGCTTGAGTACCGTCGCCGTTTTGGCTCGAGGCTTGAGCGAGTTAGGTGGGGCACGCCTGTACTTTGCGCGCGCCGCCTGCCGCTTGCAGTCATGCCGGTCCTCGCCCCTCCTGAGCCTAGCGTGCTCGCGGGTCTCACGGAATGGGGCGTCGGAGTGGAGCAGCCGGTATGGGCCCAGGTCGCTGACGTTTTGGGCGACGGGGAGCTCATGGACATCACACTCATCGCCAACACCGCCAAGGCCGACATGGTGGAAGCGTCGCTGGCGGCCGGCCTCCGCGGGGTCGCCAAAACCCGCATCAATTTGGCTTACAACACGGCTCGCGAGAAGTTGTCACTTCCTGCGGCCGACTTGAGGGCCGAGGTGCCGGTGAGGGCATCGACTGTTACTCTGGGGGCGACGCTGGCGCCAGAAGGAGCAGGAACGGCCACATCGCCAGATGCCCCTGGGGGCCCGTCCGGGGTGGTCCGCCGCACCCTCAAAGCGCAGCACCATTGGGACCCAACAGTACGGGTGGAGGTGTTTCCGCTCTCGCCCGATGCTTTGGCCAAGATGACAGGACGGTGGGGAGTGGCATCGCCTGTGCCCGTCAGCCCGGCGGTGAAGCTGAGCGACGACCAACTCAGTGTCATCGCACGTCTGCGCGAATTTGGGCACAACATGTTGGCGCGTGATCTCGGGATGCGGGGTCCTCGCGATCCACGCCGCCAGCGGACCGCCGCCCTCACGGCGCACCCCCTGAACGACGCGGGGGGATGTATCCCGAGGCGTTTCCACGGTCCCGGGTGTTTGGAGGACTGATTTGGGGCCTGGAATTTCGCGGTCTCTGGCTATGTGGCCGCAGGCTGCATCGACAAACCCATCGCCGAGGCTTACAGGGATCATTTCGCCAGCATGACAAGGTCCTTCCCGGGGGCCGATGCGTGGGCGCTGTGCGTGGAGGCCGATTGGACGTTCAGGTACGAGTTCGCGCCCTACGAGAGGGACCGCCAGGCCGCCGCTCTCTCATTATGACGTTGAGAGGCCCCGGAATGCTGTCCTGCTGGCAGGCGTCCAGGGGGTGGACGGCATGGCTTTCTGGGAGTCCCACCTCAAGGAGCCCTGCCGGCGGGTCTTGCACGGCATCGCGAAGGCGACGCCGCCGCCGACCTGGGCAGAGTCGCAGGCCGCCGCTTTCTCGCAGACTGCCTGGTCCGAGGTGGCCCCGAAGCGCGCCGCGGACGCTGGCGCGGGCAGCCTGGCCTCCCTGGGCAACACGCCGCCGACGCCCGGCAGCAAACGCCAGCGCCGGCGCGCAGCTGCCGTGGAGCAAGCTGCTCTGGCGGACATTGGCATCAGCTGCGCGGGCGCAGCGCCGCAGCTCCCGACGCCGCCTGGCGCGGCGGGGCGGCCACCCAGGGACCCCCCAAGAGAAGCGGCCGGACGGCCGGCTCTACTGGATTAGTCGCGCCTGGGGGCGAGATCTGCTTTGCCTGGAGCAGGTTCCAGGACGGCCGCGCCGGCGACCACGCCGCCGCGAGCCCAATTTGCGAGCGGTGCCGGGAGCCGCACCGCGCCGCGTGCTGCCCTCAGCACCCCGTCTGGACGCCGCCCGCGGGCGGTAGCAAACGCTGGGGCTATGCGCGCGGCCGGCTCCGGCGGGCGGCAGCGGCGGGCTGGCGCACGGCGCGTCGCGACGCTGGGCGGCCAGGGGTGGAGTGCTACACCACCGCGGCGAAAGCGCATGCTGGCGCGCTGCTCACTGCCCTCGTCGGGATGGCGCATGCAGAGCCCCGCCGCCGAAGGTCGGCCCGGCCCCTCGTCATCGCGGTCGCCGGCGCCGTGCTTGTGGCGGGAGGCGCCGTCGCGGCGGCATCGCGGCCCGCCGCTCGACGGAAATTATGGCTGCTTCGAGGCACGGCAGCGCGACGCCCTCCTGGCCGAATTTCTGGGCGCCGGATTTCACACCCGCTCGGCGCAGTGCGGGGCCCATGTGTTGCACCGCGCGGCCGGGCCCGGAGCGTTGTTGCGGTTTCACAAGTGCGAATTTGTTTTCGAGGCTAGCCGGGTTGCCCCCCAGGCTCGGCGCGGACGCGAGTTGCACCTTTTGGTCGGCGCCTGGCGCACGCCTCCCCTCCTCCCAGTTCCCCAGCGTCTGAGGCAACGCTGCGTTGCGAACGGGGGGGGCAGGCCCTTCGTTTTCTTTCGCCTTCCTGTCCCCTCGCTTGCTCTCCCCTCTTTCGCGCTACCTTCTCTGCTAATCAGGGCGTCGCACGCAGTGGCAGGCGGCCGCGTTGGCGCCCCCCCAATTGGCGGCTCGTTCTGGCTGATCACTGTTGGTAGTCTGGTGGAAAAAGGAATTGTCCACTGGCGGGTTGACCCTTGCTGGTATCATTGTTCCGCAGGTTGTTCCCTGCTTGACGCCCAGGCGGTTCTGCCACTCGATTGTCTCCGAGGTGGTTCGCCCTCGTCTCTCCCTCTCTCCTCCTGCTCTGCCTCTTTCTCTCACTCTCTTCCCCATTGCCTGACAGGTTTTGTTACTCGTTCCCAGGTGCGTGGGTGCGCTGGCAGCGCGGGACGACGCGCGGGCAGTGGACCTGCTGACCAGGCCGGCGAGACGTCATTGAGCGCTGCCGGCCTGTTTCATAGCCCGCAAACCGCGCAGCGGTTTGCGGGGCAGGAAAATCTCAGGGCAGCCTTGTGGGCCTCTTGGCTTTCGCCCCTCTCCGCTTCTGCGCTATGGCAGGGGAATCCTTATGGCCTGGTTGCTGCTGGACGGCAGGCGGTTCTTTTCCTCCAACCTCGCTGCTCGGTTGCTCGGCTGGGTTGGTGGTTGGTTGGCTTCCTATCCGCCGGTGCCTTGGCGCTCTGGACGGTGGCGACGCTGTCGCTTCCCCCCTTCGCTGGTTGGCAAGGTTGGTTGATTCTGGCGGGCATCAGTGCAGCGGCGCCCCCAAGGGCAAACCGCGGCCACTGCTGGTCGCTCGGCGGCGCTGGGGCGTTTCTCGTTCCCTTGTTTTGCGTGGTGTCAGGGGCTGCGGGTTTGCGCGCCGGGAGGCCGCCCGCAGCCCAGGGTCGCAGGTTTGCGTGCCGGGAGGCCGCCTGCGGGCCCAGGTCTGCGCCGAGGCGCAATGTGCAGGCTTGTGTGCCGGGAGGTCGTCTGCACGGCTGGGGTTCCTGGACGTTTCTCGCCTTTTGTTTTGGGTGGTTCAGGGGCTGCGGGTCTGCGCGCCGGGAGGCCGCCCGCGGCCCAGGGTCGCAGGTTTGCGTGCCGGGAGGCCGCCTGTGAGCCCAGGTCTGCGCCGAGGCGCAATGTGCAGGCTTATATGTGCCGGGAGGCCGTCTGTACGGCTGGGGCCGGGGGCTCGCCTGCGCTGGACCGCTCGCGAAGCTCCTGGTCGTTTCTCCTCTTTTGTTTTGCATGGTTCAGGGGCGCGTGAGCAGGTTTGTGCGCCAAGGGGCGCTTGCTCTGCTTGGGCTGCGGCTCGCGGGTGGCCAGTGGGTTCGCACCCGTTGGCTGCCACCGCGGGCGCGCCCAGGGGCGCAGGTTGAGCGCCGGAAGCCTGCCAGCACGGCGCGTGGACGGCGCCATCGGCGCTGGGCTACGCAGCGCGGGACGCGTGGAAGCCCCCGCGCGGCAAACATCGCCGAATTCTGGCTCTCTTCTGCACCATGTTATCATATCTGGGGCGCGGGCGCGCCGGCAAGGCTATTGTGCAGGTTCCTCTGTTGCCATGATGGCTCAGTGCTGGCCGTCGGCTTGACTTGCAACTCCCCCCTCGTGAATCGCTTGCCGCGCAGGTAGGAGCTGTCCGCTATGGCTTTCGAGCAGTCAGAGGTCTGTGCATTTGCGCAGGCGCCCCCGGCGGGGGCCCTCCACGGCGCCAGCTAGCAGGTTGCTGAGGAGTGGTGTTCCTTTCTGCTGAGTGTGGACCCAACCCCAAAACCGCCACGATTTGTTCTGGCACTTGTCTGTAGGTCGTCTCTTGGCAGAGAGCATTGGCGCTTGCGACCCACTCGACCTGGCGGGCCCGGCAATGCGAGACATGATTACGGCAGCTATCAAGCCAGGCGAAACGCCGTACGATCACGAGGCCGAGAGCCAGCTCTTCAGGGAGTGGAAGGCGCAGCTTCCCCAGATTGCATTCGCCCTCCGCGCGCAGGACAAGTGCGCAAAGCTCGAGCCGCCAGCGCCGACAGCCGAAGTCACGCTCGCCACGACCATGACAGAGCACCTGGAAGCACAGGCTGCGAGCCAGAAGCGGTCTGCGAAGGCTCTGTCCTTCAAGCTGTCGGAGAGGCTTTCGGAGCTTGGCGCGGACGCATTCCCGAAGGAAGCCCTGCCTTCGGAGGAAAACCTCGCCGGCTTCGAGGCCGCGGGCCGCGTCGCCAAGGAGAAAGGTCGCCTCTTCGTTGGCAGTGCTGATGGGGAGGACCTTCAGCGGAATTTCATCAGCAACCTTCACCTTCAGGGGGCAGGAAAATCTGCAGGAGGACTCGAGTGGTCTCCTCGCTTCGAGGCCTCGGTGGCCTCAGTGGAATCGCATTGGTTCACTGCCTGGCAGTGCTCCCGTGGCGCGGCGGATCGCTGTGCTTACAGCCGGCGGCCGCGTGCGGCTGGTGGATTTGAGCGCGGGGATGCTGCGCCGCTTGCTCCTCTCCTTCCTACAGGCGCGAGTGCGCGAGGATAACCGCGCCTGCTGCTGGCGGCGCGGGGTTGCGGCTCGTGCTCCTCGTCGCCACTGCCCTTCCTCGTCGCCTTCCTGGCTCCCGTCCGTGCATTCTGGCGGGCGCTGCTGGGGCTCAGCGCCCCCTCGTCGCCAGGGGCCCTCCTCGTCGCCACCGCCTCCCGGCGCTCCTGGGTTCTCGTTCGTTCCCGCTATGTGCTTCCCGCAGGTCGGGCAGCACATAGTTTTCATAGCCGCAAGGCCAGCAGCGGCAAGGGGAAGCTGGACGGCTCTTCGAAGGGCTCTTCCGGGGCAGCTGTGCTGGGCCCGCGGTCGCTGTCCCCGGCGGCGCCGCCGCGCTCGCGCAGCCCGTGCCCCCGCAAGCAGGGCGGCTGGGGCCAGCAGGACGGCTGGCAACAGCGCCCTCGGCGGCCAGCCTTGCCAGGCGGCGCCAGGCGAAAATGGAGAATTCCACGTTGAATACCCCGACTGTGCTGGGCTGTCCCGGCCGCGGCGTCTTGTAGATAGTTTCTTGCTCAGTGCAGGCGTGGACGATTTAAGCCTCTCGGGGGCAGCTAGAGTGAGCACTTGCTTTACCTCCGCGCGAGGATGCACCCACGCTCGAGAGAGCTGGCGCTTGACGGCGCTTCTCTGGCGCAGGCACGTTTTGACAGCTTGCAGTATTGGCATCCTTGCCAGAGCACGTCCAAAGCGTTCTTGGTCCTAAGAAGAATTTGCTTGTGCTCGAAGAGATGCTGCAAGCCATAGGTTGGCCTGACCAGCGCTTGGTCGTCGATTTAAAGCAAGGGATCCCGCTGATCGGCGCACTTCCGCGAAGTGGGGCGCTGCCCAGCATTCCTTTTAAAGAGTGCTCGGAGAGCGCAGCTAGTTTAAGAGCGCAAGCTCAAGCGATAAACCAAGCCGCGCCCAGCGCCCGGTCGAGCTGGACCCCGCGGTCAGCTTGATTTTCGAAGCGAAATGCGAACGGGAAATTGCCGAAGGGCATGCCCGTTGGCGTTCTCTCCAGAACAGCTGCGTCCTGAGCGCCTGGTTCCCTGCGGACGAAGGTTGGAAAGAGCGTGCGGAGACCTGGTCCCGCAGCGCGCGTTGTATAGACGATTTTTCTGCGTCCAAAGTTAACGAGGCTGTCTCTCCCGGCGAGACGGTGCAGCACGGCACTCTCGATTAGTTTTTGCTGCATTGTGCCAGGACATGCTGGCCAGCGCCGGCGGAGCCGCGCTGCGCAAGGAGGATTTTGTCAATGCGTTTAAAACGCTGCCACTTGCAAGCTCGCACTTGCAATTTGCAGTTGTCACTTGGGCCTCTGCCGCAGCTCGTGGGCAATGCCTGCAGCTTTTCGCCTGCCCG